ATATTTTTCCAAGCTTGCATAATATTTCATCATATATGAACATATTATGGTTTACCTAATCAATTCCCTATTATTCATCACCTAATGTTATTTTGCCATTATTTGTAATGCTTCTTTGAATGGCCTTGGACATAAATCTTTTGACTGTTTCTGATTGTTTTGCAAAATAAATTTTTTGAGTTAGAATTACTGGATAATGTTTAAAGTTTTTTGCTACATGTTGTCAAATCTGCATCTATAGCTCCAGACTTTGATAAACATCCTCAGATATCCTTGCTGTCCACCTCTTGTCATTAGCTAACTGGTCATTAGGCCAAGCAATGTGAATAAACAGCAAGACATTTTTTTTTTTTCATTTATTTAATTTTTGTTGTTGAGAATATACACAGCAAAACATACACCAGTTCAACAGTTTCTACATGTACATTGATTACATTCTTCAAATTGTGCAACCATTCTCACCCTCTTTTTCTGAGTTGTTCCTCCACTCACTGCCCCCTAAGGTTCCTTTCTAATCTTTGGAGTCGCAATTGTAAATTTGATTCCATACAGATAGTTTGTAAAAGAGCATAATGCTCTTATTAGTTAAGCTAAACTATAGTTTTAAGAAGACTTCAGGGAATATTTTTGGTTTAAGGTTTAAAGATTATCTCAGGGCAATAGTTTCAGGAATTTATCTAGCCCCTGGCTCCAGAAAGTCTGGATTGCATGAAAATTTGAAATTCTGTTCTGCATTTTCCCCCCTTTGATCAAGATTCTTCTACAGAATCTTTGATCAAAATGTTCGCTAATGGTAGCTGGGCACCATCTAGTTCTTCTGGTCTCATGGCAAAGGAGGCAGTTGTTCATGGAGGCAGTTAGCCAAACTTTTCATATCTTCCTGTTCCTGACTGTCCTCCTTCCTCTGTTGCCCCAGGTGAATAGAGACCAATTGTGCCTTGGATGGCCACTAGAACAAGACAATTAAAAAAATAATATAAGTGCTGCCATTGGTTAGTATTATGTCCTGATTATTATTAATTATTGTATCAGGAATTATGTTTGTATATATTCTCCTTATTCTCACAGTAACCCCACAAAGGTGTGGATAGCATAATCTCCATTTTACAAATGAGGACACTGAGGAACAGATAGATTAAGTAGCTTGCTCTAGATCACAAGCCAATAAACGGCAGTCAGGATTCAAACACAGGCCTGTCAGACTTTAAAGCCTGTGCTCCTAACACTGCCTCTTTTGTGTGGGTAATCACTTGTGACTGAGGGCTTCACTGGAGCCAGGCCTTGGAAGGCCTTTGCAGCCTCAGTGGGCCACATGAGAGCCTCAGTGGGCTGGCCTATCAGTTTTTTCCAAAAGGTCAAGTGCTGGATGCTGTGGTCTGGCATAGTCAGGGAATGGTAGACTCGGGATGTGGCAGCTTCATCAGTTCCATGCCTTGGTGGGTTTCCATCAGCCTTGAGGAACCCTTTTAGTAATGCATTATTCCTCCACAGGGTTTTCTGGCCAAGGATTTGCAAGCCGAAGCTCTCTGCAGGCTTGATAGGAGAGTAAAAGCAACAATTGAACAGTTTATGAAGATCTTAGAGGAGATTGACACCCTGGTAAATATTCAGTTGAGAAGAATCTATTTTCTATGACAGTGTTTCAGTCAGTCTCACTCTTTCAATAATGCACTCCCGTGAGAAACGCCTGAGAAAAACCATCAACCTGCGGATATTGAGTATCTACTGTGTGGCAGACAATGTGCTAGGTCATACACAGAAAAATAAGACAGCCCCTCATTTCAGAACACTCATATCCCCACCAACATAAGGCTTTTCCCATTTATATTTATGTGTGTTAACAGCATCTATAATCCTCATGAAGCTGGGACCCATGTGGTCCAAGCTTATCTCTGGGTCAAAGAAACACAGGGCTTCACTCTTCCTGATATTCATGTGACTGATACTCTGTGGAGCTCATCACCTGCACAGAATTCATTCAGACCTGATCTTGTGAGGCTGTTGAGATCACTGGCCCCATGCTCCCCTTTACAGATGATAGCAATGATATCTCTAGCCTGATGCCTCATTGTTGAGGGTGAACTCTGTGCCGGGGATTCTGTAGAGGGTGAAGAAGAAGCAGAGGGTACTTTTCCTGCCACAGTGAGCTCATGGTCTGGCCAGGGCATAGTATCCACACATAGAAAACAGTGAGACAACAAAGTCTGTGTTACAGGTCGTTTCTATGGCCCAGACACTGAGAACAAAGGGAGCTTTTATAGAGGCGAGAGCCATGGGAAGAGCGGTGGTAGGATTCAGATCTGGTTAATGCTTCCTGAAAATGCACACATCTCACTCACATCAGTGACCTGTTTGATGCACTGTGGGTGTTTCTGACGTTTTCTCGTGTCATTTTCACTGAGGATTGTTTATGTGTTGACTTATTCCTCCATAGATTCTGCCAGAAAATTTCAAAGACAGTAGACTGAAAAGGAAGGGCTTGGTAACAAAGGTTCAGGTGAGTTGTGTGGCAGAATATTACAAAGTGATGTGTTGGGGTGTGTGTGCGTGCATGCCTATGTGTGTTTATCTGTTCTAGTTAAGGGTAGTGTGCAAGTGTGGTGTGTGGATTGGACTTTTTTTTTTTAAAATTGTACTTTAGGTGAAGGTTTACAGAGCAAACTATCTTCTCATTAAACAATTAATACACATATTGTTTTGTGACGTTGGTTGCCAACCCCACGACATGTCAACACTCTCCCCTTCTCGACCTTAGGTTCCCCATTACCAGCTTTCCTGTTCCCTCCTGACTTCTCGTCATTGCCCCTGGACTGATGTGCCCATTTAGTCTCAATTTGTTTTATGGGCCTATCTAATCTTTGGCTGAAGGGTGAACCTCAGGAGTGACTTCATTACTGACCTAAAAGGGTGTCTGGAGGCCGTACTCTCGGGCTTTCTCCAGTCTCTGTTAGACCAGTAAGTCTGGTCTTTTTTTTCCCATGAATTTGAATTTTGTTCTGCATTTTTCTCCTGCTCTGTCCAGGACCCTCTATTGTGATCCCTGTCAGAGCAGTGGCATGGGCTTTTTTTGATGGTGGTTATTTCTCAGCATGAACTCAAAACATCAGAGAAGAGCCTCTTCCATGTCCCTATAATTATATTTGAATTTAAACTATTTGGAGAATAAATAACAGTAGGTAGAACTGACACATTACACATTTCCAGGAGGCACCATTCATGTAGAATACAATGTGTACAGTGACCTCTGAAGTGCAGTTGCAGTGGCCCTGAGGCAGGGCTTCCTGTCCTTATCACTTTTTGGGGGGATGTTGGCCTCGAGCATTGTCGGAGCCCTGGACCTAAGTTCCCCTCCACCTCCCCCCACTTCCCTTGAAGCCCAGGCCAGGCACCCATCTCCGTCCCTGCACTGCTGTTTTGTATCCATCCATCACAGTTTCCCCAGAATGGCTGAGCAGAGAGCCTTGCATGGACAGTAGTTGGCTAGCCCTGCATGGGCCCTCACTGCCCCATGTTTATCTTTTTAGGCATTCCTGGCTGAGTGTGACACAGTGGAGCAGAACATTGGCCAGGAGACAGAACGGCTGCAATCCACAAACTTTGCCCTGGCAGACTGAGGTGAGGCGGACCGGGGCTGTGCTTCTCTGAAAAACTGTACCACCAGCTCTGCCATCTCCGGACTAGAAGTTACCTGATTTCTCCTGGGCTGCTGGGGACAGCTGGCCAATTGCCAGTTTTCTCGATGAAAATGTATTGTCTTTGTAGACTTAAGTAGAGCTCCTGTCTCTTCCCTTTTCTGTTTCTATTTGGCTATGCTGTCCAGGCGCCCACCTTGTCTGGAGACGGTCTCCTCTGCCCATGTTTTCCCAGCCCTTTTGACCTTTGGGTGCTTTCTCTGGGCTGATGGGTGCCCTTGTTTGTCCTGGGATAGTTCATGTTTGTAGGCCACCGGGTTTTCAGATACATTAGGGCTTTTTTGCCCTTGTGATTCTCTAGTCCCATAGATGTACAACTCGAATCACCAGGAGATTGCTTCCAGTCAGGAGTGTTGGGAATGTCCCAGAACAGGTGTTTGGCACACATGTAGTTCAAACATACCTCATTGTGACCCAATGTCCAAACGGCTGGCTGGGTTGTTGGTTCACAGACATTGTCCTCACCCCCCAATGACCCTGGGTGAGGCCTGTGGTTGATGTACGGACTTCCTTGTTCCCATGCGGATCTCCAGAAGGCTAGAACCCTATGTTGATTTAGTCTCTGCTTGAAGCCAGGCCAGAACCATGGCATAGGAAGGGCAGAGAGGGGAGCCAGAGCGGGTAAAGCAGGCAGATGGGTGAAGCTAACCATAAACTTCTCAGGAGTGACATGTACTTCCTTCAAAGGCATTGCTGTTAACTTCTGTACTCTTCTGAGATTTGTATTTCCTTCATGGGTGTTCCTGTTTTGTGACCATTTTTCCCTGTTGTTATTAAAAAACAGTTTTGAACATCCATCAGCAAGGAGAAACGTGTTTAAACTTTTTTTTTTTTAAATGAGGTATAAGAAGGAAAATCCTTTGGTGGTTCTAGTTGGAACTACGTTTATTAAAGTCCTGAGTGGCCCTGGGTGCTAGAGCTCTGGTCTGCTGCCATCATCCCATTCTCCAGCACAGTGCCCAGGAGACAGGCTCCTGACAGACCACTGTGAGGCACACTTCACTTGGCAGAGGTATTCACTGAAGCCCTAGGAATTTAGGAATTTAGGACCGGATGAGTGGACCCTAAGACATGACAGTGGTATGGATGGACAAATGGACGAGGCTTAGGACCCAGCCCAGCCCAACTTTAATCAGAGTAATTCAGTATTTATCTGTTTTTATACACAGTGAAATCCGTGAGAGCTAGAACTTGATGGGACTGCCTTGTTCTTCTGGGTCGTGCAAGCTTTCCGCCTTTGACAAGGTGCAGTCTTACCATTTTTCTGTCACTCATTTTAGTGGAAAATATTTGAGTTTTCCTTCTCTGACAGGTTTCTGCCTTACACAGGTTCCAGCTTTCCTCTGTAGTAGCTGTATAGCCTTGGGCCACAACATTTAATGAGAAGTTGTGTGCCAGACACTGTTCTAAATTCTTTAAATGTATTAGTTCTTTAATCTACATACAACCTACGAAGTAGACAGAGTTGTACATAGTAGGTACTCAGTAAATATTTGGAGAATGAATGAATGTTTAATGTACATATTGAGAGTGAAATTGCCATTGATGGACCTAGCCACTGATGCTGTAACAGCCATTGTCTTATTTAAGGGTTGAAAGAAGAGGTCCTAAGACATGGACTGCTGGGCAGATATGCAGGGTGGTGAGTGGGGCCTGGCACACAAGGCCCACCACTCAGTTATTAATGACAGAGTATCTCTGCCTGTGAACAGGGAGAGAACACCCCTTCTCAGCTGCTCACTTTCCTGGGACATGATTATTTCTTCTGCAAGGGAATGAAGGGGATCTATGGTCCCACAAACTGATCCTTTAGTCTCACGGAGCTGGAAAAATTCTCCCTCACGTTGTCTATTTAGTCAGTGATTTCTAGTTATCCTTCAAGGCACAGCCTAAAAGTTACCTCCTCTGAGAAGCCCTCCTTCATATAGTAGTCAGGACTCTTGGTTGAAAGTGCCAGAAACCTAGTTACAAAGAGACTGGGCAAAATACAACAATTAATGACAGGATACCAATAATCCCACGTAACTTTGGGAAGGTCAAGGCCAGCTGGGCTTCAGGAACTTAAACTGCCCAGAATCACTCTCCATATCGCTTCTCTTTGCATGTCAGCATCATTCCACAGGGTAGGAAACATGGCTGCCAGTAGTACCCAGTCACACGTCTTACAGCTTTGCTGACTGAGAGGAACTGCCTCTATTTCCTTATTTCTAATTTGAAAACCCTGAGGGAGAATCTTTTGGCTAGTCAGCAATAGCCAGGGAAGCAGGGTCACATGCCATAGATATGGCCTCTGGGGACCCACACTTAGGTATCAGGATGGTTCTTAGAAACGGGACTGCAGTTTCCACATCTATAAAGTGGAGAATTAGGTATCTTCCTTGTGGTGCCTGGCACGTTGTCCAGGCTTAATCTCTAACTCCTCAGAGTATGAGGGGAAGACTGGGAAGGACAGGTCACTAAGCTGTGCCACTTGGTGTAAGAGGGGCTTCCCACTTAGGGCAGAGACTTTTAGAGGTCACAGTATCTACTGTCTCCTACAATATATTAATTCCTGATTCTTAGCTTAGCACATGGCCAACCAGATAAAGACTATATTTCCCATTCTTCTTGCCCTAGGCAAGGCCAAGGGACTAAATTTTAGCCAGTAGGATGTAAACAGTGTGTGTACATCTTACGGCAAGTGTCTTCAGAGTCAGGTGCTGTGTCCTTTGTTCCACCTGTCTGTGGGTTGAAATGTAGACGTGAAGGTGGAGCAGCTTTCTTGGACCTTGAGATGGAAACTGGTGAGGATGGCAGAGTAACAATATAGAAGGTCAGTGTGGGAGAGAAATTAGCTTCCGTTTAGCCGGTTGCTGTCAGTCAGCTCTAACTCATGGCAACCCCATGTGCGTCAAAATAGAGCTGTGCTCCACAGGATTTTCAATGGCTGATTTTTTGGAAGTAAATCACCATACCTTTTTTCCAAGGTGCCTCTAGATGGACTTGAACTTCCACCATTTCAGTTAGCAATCGAGGTCATTAACTGCGTGTGCCACCTAAGGACTCCTCTGTCCATTTAAGCCACAGTTATTTTTACTTTTTCTGTCTCACAGCCAAACTTAATTCTGCATCATTCATACGCAGGGCCTGTAGAGGGGGTATCTGACATCTGCCTCAGGCTGGGCTCTCTCTGCCTGTGGTGGAATTTATGAAGGCTGTGTGTTCCTGTGGGTCATTGTGGGAGTGCCTGTGTGCTTTGTGTGCCGGGGACTATGTCAGATGTCAAAATATTTGTCAGAGTGGATGTTGACCAAAAGAACAGCAGAGTCTTAAAGTCATCCTATGTCAGGATTAACCCTAGATACTGGACTGTGGGGAGATCCAGGGGTTTCCAGGGAGGACCTGGGTGGCCAGGGTGCAAGGGGACACTTGATGGGCTTGGGACAGAAGCTATTAACTGTTACAGATCTAGTTCAATATTTCAGCTCAGCTGTACTGTGTATGGTGTCTGAATATCAGCCGTGGCTGTGTCGTGTGTACGTGCCTGTGTGTGCCTTGGAATGCCGGTACAGCCCAGGAGGAAGCCATGAAAGATGTGGGACCCTCACAAAGGCTGTGTGAGGTTGGTCCATGAGCCCTGACAGTGGCCCTAGCAGTGACAGAGGGTGCAGATCTCACCTAGACTCTTGGCAGGAATGACAGCCTAGGCTAGGGTGGACAGGGGCACTGGGCAGTGTCTTGGGGTCAGAGGCTGGCCTCCCAGAGCCCAGACTTCTTCCAGCAGGCAGAAGACACATGGGACCTCTAAGGGGACATGTGACAGGGTTGAGGAACACCAGAGGGATCGAGGAACTGAACTCAGTGCAAGATCTCCTCCCCCACACAGCTCCCAAAATTTCCAAAGACACTGGCCCACTTAGCTGGGCTGGGCTGGCTTTTTTTAGTTTTGTGTTGCATCCTCCTCACCACCATCACTGTCTTCCAGCCTGAAGCTTCATGCTTTGAGGAGCTCCTGTGGGGGGTCAACATTTGCTATCCTTCAGGATCTGGATGTCCTGTTTGGTTTTCCTGGGATCACAGGAGACAGTGATGAGACCACCTCCTCAGGAACTGTAGTATACCCTCAGGAACACTGACCCAGTGCATCCAAACACCTAGCTGAGCCCCTCCCTCCAGTGTACTGATGCAGGGCAGATCCCAGGGGCCCACGGACACATCCTTCTGCGGCTTTTCCCTCTTACACACCCTCTCCCTGGGAGATCTCAGCTTCCTGGGGTTTCAACCACCACTGCATACTAATGGCTGCCAGGTGTGTCTCCAACCTGGACCTCTGTCCTGAACTCTAGGCCTGTTCATGCAATTGCCCATTGCACGTTTCTGCTGGGATGTCCTAGAGGCTCAACTGTTCACAAACTCATCATCACCCCCAAAACCTGCTACATCCCTCACTTCCCCATCTCTGCATATGGCACCACCATCGCCCAAGCCCATAAGTTAGAAACCCAGCATGTTGCGCTTGCCTCCTCCCTCTGTTCAGCTATCACAGCCAATCTCTTACCAAGCCTGTCAATTCTACCTGCAATGTATCTCCTAACCACACGTATTAAGACCTTTTTCTAAGTTAGGACAATATCCTGCTGTTCTCCTGCCCATCTGTCTAGAGCTTTGCAGCTTCCAAGGACTTTCTTCTCTTTTGTGATCTCATTTAACTCTCAGGCTGGTTCCAAGGGTTTTATTGGTAAAGAAACTGAGAACGAATAGGTGATTGGATATACCAAGGTCATGTCCTGGCCCTGCTCACCTCTCTAGACTCATTTCTCACCTCTCTCCTATCCTCCCTGATACTTCACACTCTAGCAGATCCAACTTAAGTTTCCTCAAATGCAAACTTTCTTTCCCTTCTAGACCTTTCCAAACTCTGTTTTCTCTGCTTGGAATTCCCTTGTTCCTTCTTTTTTCCCAGCTAATTTCTTCTTGCCCCTCAGGACTGAGCTCAGGTGGCAACTCCTCCTCCAGGAAGTCTTTCCTGCCCTTGCCTCATCCCTGCTCTGATGGCATCCTGTGCACCCACTTCTGAGCATTCAGTATTCTGTGCTGTAATTGTCTGACCATCAACCTGGCTTTCCCTGTACGCTGAGAGCTCCAGGAGGCCAGTGACGCTGTCTAGCTTATTTTGCCATGTTGTATTCCCAGTACCTAGCACCTACTAGGTTCTCAACAAATAATTGTTGGCTGGAGGAATGAATGAACAAATGAGGTCACCTAGTCAAGGGCAGAACAAGGAAAAGAATCCAGGGTTTCTGTCCCCACCCCAACTGCTCACCAGTTTGTGGCTTTTTGCTTGGAACCATGGGCCTTCTTTGAATTCCACTTGTGCTCATTCTATTAGGGGCAAGTGTTGGAGGACTCTTCTCGGGCAAAGTGTGTGTGAAGGGAGAAGCAGGTCAAGTCTTGCTCCCTCCAGACTGTATGCACCAGAGGTAGGGCCCACCCAAGCAGGCCGAGGGAAAAGGGGGGCAGAGGAAGGGGACATGGTAGACTTACATCTGGGCCAAGCAGAGCTGGCATTCACTGTTGTACGTGACCATGTCAGTGCCACAGACTGGGCTGAGCATCTAGGAACAACATGGAGACTCCACCATGTGTTCACAGATGAGCTGTGGAGGAGAGGCAGGGAGGGAGAGGACTCGGATTTGGAGATGGAGGTAGGGGAGGAACCCAAGGGCTCTGCTTGGAGTCAGAGGGGCCCTAAGGAAGGAGTCAAATTCAAGGAAGCCCCAGTTTGGGTCCAGTAAGCATGAAACCAACCACTCAACCCCTCAGTATGTTTGCTCGTGTGTGTGTGCCTGTGGCTCTGGGTGTGTGTACATGAGTGTGCACCTGTGTCTGCTGAACCTGGGCATGCAGGCATCCAAGTGTGTACCTGTTGATGCATATGTGTTTGAGGTGAATTTGTGTCCTCAAGCTCCTGGGGACAGGTTCACACACTCCTCAGAGGTTCTAACTGGAACCTCTGCTGCTGGTCCCATTAAGGACCCCGGGAGACAGAACCATACATCACTCCTAGGAGCCCCTCTGTCCCCAGAGGCTCCTGAACTCACGTTGGCCTGCATAACCTATCAGGCCCTTGGCAGGAAGATTGCATAGCTAGCGTAGGGGGGCCTGGAGAAACAGGGCAGGGGCTGAATTCAGTCTCAGTCTGAAAGGGTTTCAGGCCAGGCCTGAGGGCAGGGCTAGAACTGGGTCAGGGCTGGGATTGGGGCCTGGGCTGGGATAGGGCTGAGGGAAGTGGTACAGTGTGGCAGTGAAGACCCCAGACCTTCGACACCTGTGTCTGCCACTGACTAGCTATGTAACCTTGGATGAGCTATTTCAGCTCTCTGGGCCTTAGTTTCCTTGTCTGTGAAAATTGCAAATACTAATAATGTTGCTCTCACATAGGGTTAATTGAAACAATGTATGAAGTATTTGGCTGTGTCCGGCACAGAGTTAAGTGGGCCTGGGTTCTGATGGGCTGATGGGTCAGGTACTGAGGCTACTCGATTGGAAGGGGGAGGTTGAAGGTCTCAAGGAGGCCAGCCCCCACTTGTCCTGGGGTCACTGGGGACATCAGCCCCAGGGCCAAGGTGGAATCAGGGTTCAGAGACATCTTGGTGTTTGTCTGCTGAACGAGGGGTTGGGTCATGAGGTGTGGTTGGGGAGAGCTGGTGCATTCCACAGGCCATTCAGTGCACCATGGGCACCTCTTGGTCCTGAGCCCGTGGCCTGTTTGCATTGTGGAAAACAGGGAGCATACTTGGTTCTACTGATGTTGGGCGGGGGACCTCATTGCTGGGAAGGGCCTTGGAGGCCAGACTGGGGCAGATCCTGAGGGCCTGGAGGGTCAGGCTCAGGACTTTGAAGAGGGGGCTGGTCTTGTTCTGCTGCATGGAGGAGCTAACCTGGGGACCACGCAGGCTCAGGAGGCCACCTTGGCCACCTTGCAACTATCTGAGGTATCTGAACAGGGGCGTGCAGAAGAGAAATGCTTATTATCCAGCGTAGATGAGAGGGTTCTCTGCAGAGGGAAGGCCAGAACAGAGCCCTGGGCCCAGAACTATAAATGGCTGCCTTAGCATTCTTGAAAAAATGAGCTTTCCTGCCGACACTGATACTTTTGAAAGATAAAGTAGAAAGAATTAGGTCATGTCACCTCTAGGCCCCAGGTCCAGGGTCTGAGGACTGCTTTTTCAGGGGCCTGGCCCAGCCACTACCCAGTCAGGAATCCCTCTAGGAAAGGTAGTGAGTCACTAGACGATGGAACTGCCAGAAAATTCATGTCACCTTGGGTTACATGAACAAGAGACAAGAGGTCTAGAATGAGGGAGGTGACCGTCCAGCCTGTTCCTCATTAGTCAGATCCCATGGGGAGTGTTGTGTTCCATATGATAATTTTAAAAATAACAATTCAGCAGCTACTATGTGCTGGGCACTGAGGATACATGGTCTTAACTGCTCTTCACATCCCTCTTCCTACTATGTAACAGGAGGAGGAAGGACGGCAGTAATAGATGCTGTGGTCTGCTGGGCCGATCCCACCTTCAGGGCTGAGGCACTTGTTTCTCCAGCTGCGGGGAGTATTAATAGCTCACAGCTGAGTCCCTCTCTAGGCGTTACCCTCAGAGAACAAGCTGCCTCACCCTAAGTGATTTCCTCTGCCCAGGAACAGCCCATATACAATGACTGCTCACTGTGGGTATAAAGAACCGACCCCCCTTATCTTTATTCCAAACAAAGCTAAACGGCCACCCCCAGCTCCAGAGCTCCCTGTAACTCAACTGAGGCCTCTGTTGTACTGCAGAGAGGGTGAAGGGGACGGAGACTAGCCTCTGACGTGCTACTTAAGCCCGGCATCGGGGCATCAGATGCAAATCTAGCCTTGTCACTGCGCTGCTCAAAACCCTTCCAAATCAAAATGGCCAAAACTGACAGTGGCCTAAACGTCCTTCAACAGGAGATGGATTAATAAACTGTGATATGTCCATACCATGAGATACTACTCAGCAATAAAAACGAGCAGACAACTGATACCTGCGACAACACGGCTGAATCTGAGAAACATGCTTAGGAAAAAAACCAGACATCAAAGACTACATACTGTATGGGCCCATTTATGTAAAATTCTAGAACAGACTAAACTAATCTCTGGTGGAAAAAGTCAAAACAGTGGTTGCCTCGCGGTAGGTTAGGGGTGGGGATTGACTGAAATGAGGGAACTTTCTGGAGTGATGGAAATGTTCTGTATCCTTATAGGGGTTTGGGTTACACAGGTGTATGCATTTGTCAAAAGTCATTGAATGACGTACTTAAGATTTGTGCATTTCATGGCATATAACTGTTAGGGGTAAAAAGCTCTTAAAAAATAAAAGCCCTTCCATGGCTTCTCATCATGATCACTAAACTCCTTACTCTTAGATTTAGGGCATGGCATGAGCTGACCCCAAACTTCCTTTCTGGGCTCACTTCCTAGTGCATCACTCCATGTCCCCAAAGCCCTAATTATTCTTCTCTGCTCATTGTTCCCTGAACAGGCCCTGCTTTAGCACATGCTGTTCCCCCTGCCTGGAATGTCCTTACCCCTGTTCTCCTCCTATTGAGTCATACTCTCCTTTCAAGGCTCAGAGGCCGCCTCTTGGTGAAGGCTTCCGTAATGTGCCCCAGGGCCCCCTGAGCAGGCCCGGATTTTGCTGCCTTTCACGCACCATGTTCTGCCCCTATCACTAGGTTGCCTCTTCCTCCCCATGATCCTGAGCTCTTTGGGACTCCTTCATCTCTGCCCCATGCAGCCCCTTGCTCAATGCCCTGCACACCATGAGTGCTCAGGAATTGACCACTAAATTGCATTGTGGGGGACTTTTCAGGACCGTATGGTATCAGTTTCTCCCTGGCAGATGTGGGAAGAAGTTGGATTTACCTGCAGGCTGACACCCAGCTGCCCTCAACCTTGGCCCAGTGTGGGTCTCCTCACTCACTCAGCCCAGGCAGGAATCTGAAATGTGCACAGGACCCTCTTAGGGCAGACCCCCTCAGTGTTCCTGATGGGACAACTGCTCAGGGAAAGGATGCCAGGCTGGGACTAAATAGGCTGTGCTGGGCCAGAGCCTGCAGACCTGTTCCCCATTGTCCTGGTACCCAGGTCTGTGTCCCCAGCTGGGGAAAAGGGTGCAGGAATGGCTGTGAGATCAGTGGACCTGGGGTCCTGCTGGCCCTTGCACTGTAACATCATGGCTGGTCTCTCTGCTTCCCCCTTCAGTCTGTTCTCAATTGCTCAGCAAGAAGAACAATTCTTCTAACATGTAACTTTGCCCAAAACCCTGCAGTAGCTCCTATTTCACTCAGAGGAAAAGCCAGGTTCTCACATAGATCTACAAGGCCTTACCTGATATGGTTCCCGGTGGCCTCCCTCAACTTCTCTCCCACCACTCTGTACCTGCTTCTACCTCAGGACCTCTGCACTGCTGTTCCCTCTGCCTGGAACCCTGTCCTAGATTTCCACGTGGCTCACTCCCTCACCTCCTTCAAGCTTTGCTGCAGCATCAGCCTCTCAGAAAGACCTCCCCTGATAACTTTTTAAAATTGCAACCCCCTCCCAATCCTCATTACTCTGCTCAACGTGTTTTCCTTAGACTTCATCACCTTTTAGCATACTGTTTTGGAGCCCTGGTGGCGCAGTGGTTTAGTGCTTGGCTGCTAACTGAAAGGTTGGCAGTTGGAGCCCACCAGCCGCTCCTCAGGAGAAAGAAGTGGCAGTCTGCTTCCGTAAAGGTTTACAGCCTTGGAAACCCTGTGGGGCAGTTCTACTCTGTCCTATAGGGTCGCTGTGAGTTGGAATCGACCAGACGGCAGTGGGTTTGGTTTTGGTAGCATACTGTTTAACGTGCATTGTACCTGTCTATCTTGTTTATTGTCTATCCCTGCCGCCATTGGATTTAAGCTCTGTGAGGGCAGTAATTTTTCTGTTTTGGTCATCCAGAACAGTGCCTGACACACAGGTGTGAGACTGCAGAGGAGGACCTCTGAGGAGGCCCCACTCCAGCCACATGTGTCCAGCCCAGGGCAGGGGCTCCCGCAGCTGCTCTCGGTCCCAAACCATGGCCTGTCAGAGCAGAAGAGGAGCTCAGAGGATGCAGGCCAGGCCTCCCTCAGCACCCACTACCCTGCAACCAGAATAACTGCCTCTCCCCAGAGAGCTGGGCCTGGCATTCTCCCTTCTGCGTCTCTAACATCTAGCCCAGTAGCTGTTCAGTGCTGCTTTGAAATGGAACAACCTCCCACTTTACCAGTGGATAAACTGAGGCCCCAAGAGGGCCTCTTTTACAATTCTGAGCCACAGTGAGAAGTTGAAGCCAAGTGTCTTTTCTCCCAGCCCAGGACTCTCCCCACCACAATGCAGGGTTTGTGTATAGAATGTGGGTATGCACCAGAAGCACCCCACAAGGTGCTCCAGGCCCTGCCTCTGCTCCTACTCCCAAGCTGACCTACCAACACCAAGCCTCAGAGAATCCAGGCTCTGCCGACTCACCTCTGTCCACAGCGAGGACGGCAGCCACAGCCAGAGTGACTACCCACAGGCTGTTGGCCATGCTGATCCTGGGCCTGAGCTAGCGGGAGCCTGGGCAGGGGGCAGGAAGAGGACCTATTTATAGTGCTGATTCCTCACCTTTATCTGGGGCCAGCTGGAGCGGATGGGAGTGTCACCTCAAGTTAATCTCTGCAGCCTGGTATCTGGAAAGGGCTTGCTCCAGGCAGAGATGCTGAGTTCCTGGTGACATAGGGATGAGTCTGTGGGCTGGCTCTGCCTGGGACGGCAGATTTTAGGAGTGAAGAAAAGTTTAGTCTACTTGCAAAGCTGACTCCAGACAAAGCTGGAGCAAGAGGGAGAGGGAAGTTGAAGGAGAGAGAAAGAGAAAAACAGAGAGGCAAAATAGAAAGAAAAGAAAAAAGCAGCAACTGGAAAACAGCAAGAGGCAGACAAAAGGGGCTGGAGTCATGGCTCCGTCACCAACTTTGTGACTTCAGAAAAGTCACTTTCCTTAACTGGACCTCAGTTTACCCATCCACAAAATGGAGGTGGTAATTCTGGCACTGCCTCTCTCCCGGGACTGCTGTGATGATGGAGGTGGTGAGAGCAGATGAGATAACATTTGCAGAGTATGAAATGAGGTGTAAATGTAAATAGAAGTGATTATTTTTATTTTATTTTGTTTTGCACAATTGCCAGCCCCCACCACAAAAAAGGGCAAAATAAAACATTTTGAAAGAAAGATGACTTCATGCTTTGCAAGTGTTATATGTCCGTTTGCATTTTAATAAGTTAAATATGGACAAAATTCAAGAAAAATCAGTATCTAAAACTCCCCCACTTATGCAATATATGTAAATAAGTAATTTAGTTATCTGCTTTTGAAGAATTTCTTATTTATAAAAACTATAAGAAAATTTTATTTATATATGTTGTTGTTAGGTGCCATCAAGTCGAATTCGACTCACAGTGACCCCATGTGTCAGAGCAGAACTGCCCCACAGAGTTTTCTAGGCTGTAGTCTTTATGAGTGGATCACCAGGTCTGTCTTCCGTGGAGCCACTGGATGGGTTTGAACAATCAACCTTTTGGTTAGCAGCCAAGCGCTTAACCACGGTGCCACCAGGGCTTCATTTATAGATACACTTCTCTAATTATTTAGATCAGTGACTTTCAGCTTACCTGCAGATTAGATTTCCCTGGGGAGAATTAGAAAATATAGACTCTGGACCTCACTCCAAAACATTTGGATCAAAATCTCAGTGGTTTTTTGTTTCTTTTTTAACTTTTTATTGTGAAAGATTTCAAGCCTATAGAAAAGTTGCTGGAATAGTACAGTGAGTCAGTGGGAGGGACTCTTGTTCAAAAACAATCCCTTTGGGGATACCAGACAGCCAGACATAGTAATCTCCCTGGGCCAGTAGGAGCCCTAGATCTGCAGCCTACCTGGCCTGAGGCCCCCAATCTCCCCAGGAACCTGCACTGCCTGTGGATGCCTCTCAGGCAACGGCATCTATCCTTCTGTTGCTTAGCCAGGCAGAGCAGATATTTAATAATGACATCCTGTCCTAAAGTAAGAACATCACCTTAGAAAGGGAGGGGAATCTGGGTCCTGGTTCCCTCTCCCACCTTCCTACAGCAGCATCACCATGAAGTCACTCATCCACCAGTGACAGGGAGCTCACTGCCTACTGGCTTCACTGTTGGGTGACTTTGAACAAAGAGACTCCTTCCTCACACAAGAGGCCTGCTTCCCTGAGACTTCTTGGGGTCCCAACTCTGTCTCTGGCCTCTTGCACCTGCATGAACCCCCAGTGGGCCCCTTCAGGCTGAGCAAACCCAGCTCCCTTGCCTGCCCCCCACTCTTGTACACGATGAAGCTCCTGGGTTTCTCTCCATCTCTCATCTGGTCCCCAGGTCAGTCTGTCAGTGTCCTAGGTTAGTGTGAGAAGGGACACGGGGAGCAAGGGGATTTGTCACCTCCCTTGTTTGGGACCTTAGACCTCTGTCCATGTGGTAGGAATGGCTGCTGATGGCTCTAGCTTCTGCAAGCGACCAGGTACCTTGAATTCTGCATCCTTCAAAGTCCAGAGTAAAATCATGGACAATCTGCTGGGGTGCAGAGACCCCTGCTATCCCACCCTGCCCGAGATCTCTTTTCTCGGAAAGACACCTCCTAGATTCATTCATAATAATAAAGTTCCTAACTGATTATCACACTAAAGTGAGAGCCTGACTATATCCAATTGCTATTGGACAGCACTATTATGAATGCCAGTGCATCCAAATAAACCCCATTCATTCATTCAACAATAATGAGCAGCTAAGTGCCAAGCTCCATACCAGGTGCTTGGTTATGTCAGGGAATAAGTCAGACAGAGTTCTTGTCCTCAAGAAGCTTATGGTTAAGTAGGGTGACTGATACTAAACAAGCGGCAGAACTTGATCATTACCTTTGGGGTAAGTCCCACGAATGAGACACACTTGGTATTGTGAGAGGATCCAAGACTGACCTATTTATGTGGAAGGTCAGAGAAGACCAAGGGGTGAGTAGGTGGGGATGGGCTGTAGCAGAGTGGAACAGTGTTGCAGGCTGAGGAAACAGAATGTGTGAGGGTCCTGAAGCAGGAAGAAGCTTGGCATGTTGGAGGGACAGAGAGACCACTGCGGCTAAGATGAAGTCGGAGGGTCATGAGATGGGCCTGGAATGGTCAGCGGGAGCCAGCTCATCCTCGAGCTCTGCTTCCCAACCCCACGTCCCTCCACTTTCCAGCAGTGGAATCCTGGGAGCTGACTGTTGGGCTGGACTTGCCCTCCCATGGAGTGGATAGGTCCTGCTTCCTAAATTGTTCTTGAATCCATCCCTGCCCCTCCACACCCACCACTATGCCGCAGTCCTGGATGCCATTGTCTCCAACCTGGCCACTGCAGTAGTCTCCTAACTTCTATCTCTGCTTCCCAGCCTGCTGCTCCAAACTACTCTACACACGGTGGCTGGGGCAAGCTTCTTAAAATGCAAACCTGACCAAGTCATCCCTGCCCAAAATGCTGCAGTGGTGCCCGCTGCCAACAGGACAAGGCCCAAGCACCTTCGCCTGGCATTCAAGACCCTTCAGCATCTAATCCCAACCTACCTTTACAGCTTCACCTTTGCCTCACTCCACCCCAAACCCTTGCCTCTTCTGTTCTACCTAACCCTTTGCACACTTTATTTTCTCTGCTGGCAATGCTTGTTTTCCTTCTCCATCCCTGCATCTTGTAAGAATCAGCTCAAATCTCCCCCTCTTCTGAACCTTCCCTAACTTCCCTTCCCCAGCCTAGGCACCCTCACTGCTGCCCACCACCATGCCCCACTCCTGCTGCACTTCTACGTCCTCTGTCAGAGTCTTCCACTTGATATAGTGCTTACTTGGTGGTGTTTACTTGTCTGCTGTGGTGACTAAGCTGGAAGCTCGATCGGGATGGAGACAGTGCTTCATTTATCTGTCTCCCCAGTGCCCAGCCCTGAGCCTGGTGACCAGTAGGTGCTCAATAAATGTTGAGTGACATATCCAAGAGGGGGCAGAGAACAGTGGGTCCAAGGACAGATGGTGCCAGCATTGGGGAAAGGGTTCTGAATGGGAGGCAACTGCTGTCCCCACTGACCCCTCCATGCTGCTGGTATACCATGAGAGCCCCCTGTCACACTCCAGACCCTGGGTGGCATGGTCTGGATCAGAGTGCCTGGTGTGTCTCTGGTACAGGGGCAGGGCTGCCTCCCTGTAGCCTGAGCCAACCCCTCCTTCACTCTCCCCTCTTCTGTCTTCACTGGAATGCAGAGAGGCACAGGCGGAAGACTGAACCAGGAGTGAGGAGATTTCAACATGTATTTATTAAGTGCCTACTCTATTCTATGCACTGTTCTTATCACCAGAGATCCAGCTGTGAATAGGGTGGAGAAAATCCTTGCCCTCCTCATCCCTACATTCAAAGAATCGGGTCTTCCTAATTTCACCTCCTCACTACCTCTCATTTCCATCACCTCCTCTACATTTCCTCCATCACTGCTCTAGTTTGGGCTGCATCACTTCTTGCCTTCATTACTCATATCATCTCCCTGCTTCCAGTCTCACCCCCTCCAATTCATTCTTCATTTTGCTTCCATAACAATCTTTTTGAAATGCAAAAATGTCCACATCATCCCTCTGCTTAATATTATTCAATGGCTCCCTATTGACTCGAGGATGAAAACTAGACTCCTTGGCATAGCGTACAAATTCCTCCTAACTGGGCCTTTCCGGCCTCTCTAACTTTATTTCTGGCTACTTAACCCTTTACTCCATCAGACAGAACCACCTGCCAGGCTTTCATGCCTCCAAGCCTTAGCGCATGCCCTCTACCTGGCATGCCCCTCTATCACCTCCCTCAGGGTCTCCTCCAGGGCCCTCAGCCCCCCTTAGTTTGTGTCCCACATCTGTACAGACATTCATCTCAACAGCACCTGTAATGCTGCACAGCCCTTTCTTATGTGGCTATCTCCTATACATCATTAGAGAGAGGGTGGGGGAACATCTGGTTCACCTCATATCACCAATGCCCTGCAGAGGAGGGCCTGACACATGCGTATTGACTATATGAATACATCCAGGACTTAATGAAACATCAGGACAATAAGGAGCCCAACTCTAGATTCTCCATCTGCTAGACTTCAGGGATTCACGGAACTCTGAGGACCAGGCTGGGCTCCAGTGGGCCCAGTGGGCCCAGCCACTGACTACCCCATGCTGTGTCCATGTAGGTGGGAACAGAGGTGGGCACTATATTCCAGGGACCACACTTTCTACTAGTTCTTGGCCCACCTGGCTAGGCACCTAAGAACCCAGAATCTCCTCGAGGACCTAGATGTGACACTTCATCTCTAAAGGCCACCCCAAACTCATCGCTGTGCTCACAGGCAGCAGCTTTACTACCTGACCTCTCTCCTGGTGTATGGAATCCTGGCTTGATCACTCCCAACTAGGAGGAATTTTCAGACTAGTCTTCACCCCAGGAGTGGGACTGTACAAGAAACTTCGTGTTGGAGTCATGTGCCACCAAACAGGTCCATAGGCATAG